AACATGTCTGCGTAACCCGTTGATTTTTTCTTGCATCTGACGTAATTGGTCCATCATCATAGACATTGTATCCGCTAGACCTGGTTGAAGTAGTCCTCCCGTTGAAACCGTTGGTCATGTCACTTTAGGACAAGTTGGTGACGGAATGACTATGACTTCCGGACGTCGCCCCCTGCAATTCTCATCCGTTAAAATGATTGGTCTATGCGGTCGTTGTGTCTGAATCTCAGATGGAAGGTCGTCAAAGATGTTCCGTCTGCGGTTCTGCACGAAGTTGGACTGACCAGGCTCACCATGAGTTCTACTTCTGTAGTGAGGGACAGACGGTTCCGTCGGGGCTGATACGGCTGAATCCATTGGTAGGCTTTGAGTGGCCGAGTGTAAGCTTGTCGTTCTTGGTCCAGGGCGAAGGGACTCCGGAAAGAAACAAGTCGGTATGTTGGGAAGGGGAGTCGTCTCAGGGACGAGAGGTGTGTAAGTGATGACCTGAGAGATGATTGTAGGTTGCGAATCTCCGGCAGGTGAGAGGTCCAATGTGAGAGAGACGGGTTCAGTGGTGATGTTAGGTGATTCCGTCATTGCCGAAATGGAATCCAATTCCAATCATGTACCGACGGGCGTGATATCGTTTCTCTAGTTGCCTCTAGAACTGGAGGCGATTGATACCGCTGATTGGACTTGGGATCGAAGCAGATCGTTCTCCCGTTGGAGATGGGCCATTCGTTCCGCCGTCACTCGTCGAATTTCCTCCTTTGCCGACTCTAACTACGCATGAAACACTGCCAACAAAGGATTACCGCCAGCCATGCTCAATGATATTTCTCTTGCACAATGCCTCGCGGTGGACGCCAAATTGTTTAAGCATTTTTTGATAAGCTAGAACTAATTAAAAAGAACTTTATATGAAGAATGAGCTTCAAACAAGAGCAATGATGAAGATGACAAGTGAGTGAATAAGAGTGAAAACTTGTGTACCATTCGAATATGAGCTCCCTGGTTACAATGAGGGATATCCTATTTATAGGAAGGGTAATTAATGCTCTCATGATGGCTTTGCACGTTACTGACGGGTTGGCCGGCCGTACTGACGAATTCAAATTCCGTCATAAAGGCTGGTCAATTACATTTAATACCTTCCTTAATCACATTAAAGAGCCTAATAATGTACAGAAAACGTTACAACATCCATCATTAAGCCTTATGAACATATCATTAACTTCTGTGACCAACCCTCTTTAACGCAACATAATCCGTCAGATTCTCCCTCTAACAGTAACCACATCCATAAAGGATGAGTGAGATACCCGCATATTTTGGAAACGGAAGGCCTTAGGTCCACTGGAAGCATTATTTAAACATTGAACTAAAATAGGAGAGTGATCAGATGGAGTGCTATTCAAGTGAGTAATCTGGATATTATCAAAAAAGTTCAACCAATTGTTATTGATAAGACACCTGTCTAACCTTCTCCACACTCTGCCTTTGGATCTTACCCCTGTCAATGTATATTTACAGGCTGTGTATGGAAGTTCAATGAGATTGCACCCAGAAATGCAATTAGAGAAATCCTGGACACCGGTAAGTACTAGAGTCCCCCTTCCTTGATGTTCATTGAATGCAGCAATAGTATTAAAATCACCCCTAACACCCAAGGGTCTTGCATGTTCTGGGAAATAACAGTAATCTCATTCCATAATTGCCTTCTAATACTGTAAGTGTGGCCTCCATAAACACCAGAAATCCACCCTTTTAAACTCTCTTTTGTCACCATAAAATGCACAAATTGTTCATGCCAAGTAAAATTAGATAGACTAACCACATTAGGACCCCAGAAGATCCAGATCTTATTAATATCAGAGGACAAAACTTCAGAGAGACCAAACTTTCCTTTGTAAAGAATAGCTTTAGAACTAGCTAAAATGGGTTCAATGACCACAAGAATATGAATCCTCCATTGTTGTATTAGGTAATAAAGTCTGGAACTAGAGGATTCCAGACCCCTAACATTCCAAAAGAGACAATCCATTGAGAACCGGGAAAGGAAGTTTGAGAGAACCCCTGGTTATCCTTCTTCTTAGCTGCATTTCTTGTTGTAATTGTTGAAGCTTCCAATTCAATTTTCCTTCTTGCCTTTTAGCTTATGACTTTAGTAAATCCATCATCTTGATCTCTATGATTTTTATTCTCAGATATATTATTGGAGTCCTTTTGCTGTGTAGCTTTTTTAACAATTTTCTCCACCATTGTGCAGATATCAGGCCAATTCAGCATCCAGGATTCAAATTCCACCTTAGCATCCTGCTCCCCATCAGAATGATATTGTTTGGAGGCCAACACCATATCCATGTCAAGTAACTGATGCAGTTCCTTAATGTGAGCATCATCTTTGGTACTAGTGAATTTGTTAAGCAGGTTCTTAGAAACACCCTCTAAATCAGCTTCAAGTTGATCTTCCAGCCTTTTCCTACATTCTGCAATTGCCTGATTTGTAACCATTTCAGGATCTATCACCACCTCAGGTTGGTCTATCCCTATCTGAGTCTCAGGTTCATCTCTCAATGGTTCAATAATGACATCCACAGTTGCAGCAGTCACTGTCACAGAATTAGGAGCACCTTTCTCATTTGTAATTGCGGTTCCCACATCAGCAGCATTTGCCTCAACGATTTGCTCCTCTGGTGTTGTAACTCTAGAAGTGGAGGCTATATCTGTATTAATATGTGATGTAATTTTGTCTTTACCTTTTTCTGCCCTGGTAAACTTATGATTGGTGTCACAAGAGGTGACAAGATTCTTAGGTGCTCATATCTCTTTCTGAGTAGCTCCTGCATGAGTAGCTTCAGACGGCCTCTTGGGGCATTTACCAGCGTGATGCCTCAAATGAAGGCATTTGGAGCAATAGTCAGGTCGATTTTCATATCTGACAGGTTGCATAAAGCCAGTATTACCACACTGAATCTATATTTTATTGGGCATGTCTGTAGTGAGATCCAATTCAACCAAAACTCTAGCTAATGATGGCCTAGCTAGAGATCCTATAGCATCATCAATCTTCATCGGCTTACCAATGAGCTCTGCTATGTCAAATAGGGCTCGCTTGTCTTGTAAATGAATCGGTAGCTCTTCAAACCCAAGCCAAACATGAACAACCGGAGATTCAACATTAGGTTTGAACTCCGGGGTCCATTCAGTAACTCTCATAACACAACCATTAATCAACCATGTTTGTTTGTTCCAGCATCGTATGTAATCCTCATCCAAATCAAAACGAATCAAAACATGCTTTTGATCAAGTAATCCAAGATGAAAATTTCCTTTGAAACCAATTATTTCAAAAGCTTTCCGCATATTTATCATACTAGGACGAGTTCTATAGAAATACCCAATAGAGGCCTTCCTATGTTTCACTGCAAGTTCTTGAATCTCCTGATCCGGGAATGTGATAGCAAGAACACCTTTGAAACGAGTTCGTACTTTCGCAGATAGGCTCTCCTCCGATCGATCAGCCACCACATTAGCAAATGACCGTCCACTCCACGCCTTCAGGCCACTCTGCGGCGGGCCTCCACCAGATCCCGCCGCCACCGCCGTCACAATTGCACTCATGAATTAGGTTTCCACCTCAGTCTTCCTCCCATATGTTGTTCATTCGCATAAAATTGTTATGCATCACAGTTCCGTACATCTGATATGATCAGAAAACTTAAGCTATTTTTAATTGAAATAAAATTTTCTAATCTCTTTTAACTACTCCTTCCGTCCCGAAATGAAGTTCTCGGTTTGACTTACATATTTATGTAAAGTAGAGTTTTGTTTTGATTTTCCAAGTTTACCCTTACTTTATGTCAAATCAAGCAAAAAGTGGGTAAAAGTAAAGGTATTTGTGTCTTTTTGGATAAAAGTGGTTTGCTTTTATAGAAACGAGAACTTCTTTTTGGGACATCCATAAAAGGAAAGTGAGAACTTCTTTATGTGTATTTTATAACTATTAAAATTTGTTTAGTTCCATCCGTTTAAGTATGACTAACATTTTTTTTTACTCCAGGAGGCGTCTGGGAGAGGGGGGCTGAGGGGAGCCTGGAGTAATATAGACTGAAACTCACTCCATTGAGTTTCGAACCCGAGACCTCCCGTAAGGGAGAGTGAGTCGGTGACCAGCTGGGCTGGACCGCTTCCTCAGTATGACTAGCACTTAAATCAGACAAAATATGTTTTTACTTGGACAAAAATTTGCTGGTTTGGTCTGATCTGGTCTGGCATGATGTGAACTGGTCTGGTGTAGTGGTCTGGTCCGATAAATGTCTGGTCTCTGTGTATTTTATAATTATGAAATTCTGGTCTGATCCGATCCGTTTAAGTATGGTCTGATTTGTTTAAATCTGGTTTGATCTTGTGTAAGAGTAATCATCTCGAGTAAACGGGAAATTGCCCAAAATAGGAGCAAATGAGATTTGGAAATCCAAAATAGGACTACTATATTTATCTTCCAGAAATAGGAGTTGCTACTGTCATGTATGAAAAATACTGCCATGATTGAAAAATAATATCATTAATTATAATAAATACTTTCAGGTTAAATGCATTGTACTGCAACTATTTGATAGTCACGTCTACAAGATGACAGTAAATACTGCCATGTTAGTCCCATTTCGGGAATAAAAACATAGTAGTACTATTTTGGAATTTCAAACTCCATTTAGTCTTACTTTGGCAAATCTCCTCTTGTAAAAACATGAGAGAATTTCCTAAATAGGAGTAAAAACGTTTTGAAATTCCAAAATAGTACTATCATGTTTGTTATTCTTTGAATATGAGTAAATTTCTGTCAAGTTTGTCATTACTAGACTTTAAAACATGCATTTTTTTCCAAACTTGGCATATTATTCTTATTCAGAGAATAAAAAATATTATACTCTTTTTTTTAAATTTCAAATTTTTTTTCTCCTATTTAGGCCATTTATCTACAAACATCCAAATGCATACATCCTTAAATCAATTCTCACGCGCCGCCGTCCTGCCTAGATCATACGCCATTCTTGACGAAGTCATTCTCGTACAATACGAAAGCCTAAAACCATGTCTGATTTCATTTCGCCATTTACTGGTTTCATCTCAAATAATTAAGATGGATGTGGAGGAAAGTCCTCAATCGCCAAAGCAATCACAACCATCCCCTGTTGACGCGAAACCCATTGATCGGAGATTCTCTGCTCTAGGAGACCTGTGGACTCTACCGGATGAAATTATCTGCTCCATTCTGACTTATCTTTCTCCCCAAGACGTAGCTCGCCTTGCATGTGTTAGCAGGTCTTCACTATAATTCCAACTCTGTTTCTTCATCGATTTAGCTAGCGTTTTCTCATTTTCTGCTACTAGTTGAAGCTTCTCGGTTCTTTTATCAAATACTTAGCTTGGTATATATTATGAACATGTGTTAATATCTCGAATTTAGAAACATGTATAGTGCCATGGTTACTTTCTAATTTATTGATCAGGTTTTGCTGTGTATTCTTTTTCTGTTTACATTCGAAATCGTTGTATTTGGATTTGCCTGTTGCATAGAAAAATTAAATTCTAAGTGTCTGAAGTTAAAATCTTTGTAAACTGGAACTGTTACTGTGTAGAATTGCTTACTTGAATGTTTAGAATATCCTTTTATTATATGATAACAGAGTACTCAGTACTCCGTAGTCCCTATACCTTACTGGAGCTCCAGGATGATACTTATCCTAAATCAATCTGCATTGCACTGATGCGATGAAGCTTCTATGGCTGCAGTTAATAGTTTGTGGACATATATAGCATATTAATGTGGATCAAGTTGCTGGGTTAAAGTGATGCCATCTTTCAGATCCTCATTTTTTCGTACTTTTCTTTTCTTTATACTGTAGTGTATTATACATTTTTTGCGATGAGGAGCCCCTCTGGAAGAGCCTATGCCTTGAGAATATCCAGCATCCACTTCAGTATAAAGGCTCCTGGAAGAAAACAGTAATGGATCAGTATGGTTCTGAAAGCACCCAGAATATTTGCTATGCTGTATCTCACTTTTCTCAGATATCTTCGAATGAATAAATACATAGTTATTTATTTATTCCATGTGTAGGATGGACCTTCCAATTGACAGTGATATACCCTGTCAGAAACCACTACACTTTGATGGTAATCTGTGGTTGAATTTAGGTCTTAGTGGACTTCCTTATTCTTGCAGTTCCTTCTGCCATCATTGATTAGGTTATGTTCTCTGCAGGATTTAGTTCTCTATTCCTCTACAAGAGACTATACCGGTGCTATACTACTCTGAATGATTTTGGTTATGATAATGGAAACGTGGGAAGGTCAACCAACCTCTCTTTGGAACAGTTTCAGGATAAGTATGACGGACAGAAACCGGTATCACATTTTTCGACACACATAATCACACATATATATAATGTGCACCAATATGAAATTTGAATTTTTTTACCTTCGTTTATTTATCTAATACACTAATTTTATATATCTAATACACTAATTTATACTCTTGCCTATGTTATTTTAGTGTAAAACCAAGTCGTCATTTGTTTTCTTTTTACCGTATTTATTTTTCTCTTTTCTTCAAAACTTTTTCCAATTTAAGATATTTTATATTCTATCAAAAAGAAAAATATTATTTGCAAATATTAAGATCTGTCATGCAAAGAGATGGGGTAATAGATTTCTTTGCCTGTCATCTCTTTGCTGTGGATTTTTCTTCTCACGATTTACAAGTAATGATAGTTAGGGTGCTACATATGGTCCCATGCTCACATGGATTACCACCCCTAAGAATTGAAAACAGGTTTTGATTGCTGGATTAGCCGATTCTTGGCCCGCTAGGAATGCATGGACAACAGAGCAATTACTGTTGAAGTATGGAGATACACCATTTAGAATATCTCAAAGGAGCTCTAAGAAAATTATAATGAATCTTAAGGACTACGTGTCCTACATGCAACTTCAGCATGATGAGGATCCTTTGTATATATTTGATGAAAAGGTGCCTTATTTTTGCTACTTAGAATTCATTCTATGTGGTTATCGTATATCAACTTGTACAAATGAGATTCATGATTTATACAGTTTGGGGAAGTTGCTCCTGGACTGTTGAAGGATTATAGTGTCCCACACCTCTTCTATGAAGACTTTTTTGATGTATTGGATAGGGACGAACGCCCCCCTTTTAGATGGCTGATTATTGGACCAGAGAGGTCTGGTGCTTCTTGGCATGTTGATCCTGCACTTACCAGTGCTTGGAATACTCTGCTTGGTGGACGTAAACGGTAAATTCAACTTGAAGAAAATTAAATAAATCACTCATGTGAATGACCTGCTAAGTTTTGTAGTAGAAACTTCTACTTTTTGTAGATCACGTGTTGGTTATACATCAACATTTCATGTCTAGTATATACTATATGGACTTAAGTGTGCCAATATGTAATCTAGGAGTTAGCTTATGATTTTTATATCTCATCAAAATTATATATATTGCCCGTTTTCCCTTCACTACCTATATAACTTAATTCATTTGACTTTTCAGAGAGTTAAAAGAAAGATATTGTATGCATATTATTAGGATTTAGGATATAAATATTGCTCCTTCATTACCTTTTTAGTTTATCTCATTTAACTTTAACCGAGCTTAAGAAAATGAGATAGTGTGGTTGATACTTTCTAGAAACGAAACAATGGACACCAACCACACAATTTTACCTTTAAAGGAAATTGAAGATTATTTAGGAACAACCCAAAACGAAGGAGATGTACATTAGAAGGGGATAGAAGGTGCATTTGTTTGCACATTATAGAAGAATCAACTATCAGACCTCACACACCGCAAGATCACTGTACGGCTTTGTTTTGTTGGACCTAATTCAGTTTAAGATCAGACTTGACCAGACTTTTGTTCACTTGGAGTCTTGGACAGTATTTTGTTGGTGTGGTCCAGTTAGGTCAGATCTGAAGTGAAATGGTCTGGTCTGTTGGTATAGTAGTTTAATTATGGTTTAGTTTGCTCGTTTGATTTCATGTGTATGTTATAACTATGAAATGCAAGTTTTGTACGGTCAAAACTATTTCATGTCATCATGTAGATGGTGATCTAGTCCGGTTTAGTCGATCTGGTTTAACCAGAAGCGGGTAGTACATGCAGTTTGGAACCTACGGTTATGGTCGGCGGTTTAGAACCTACTGTTATGGTCGGCAGTCCGGTTCCTTGGATATTTGGGAACTAGAACCGCCGGTTCCGATTTGGAACAGAATTTTTTAATTTCAAAAAAAGTAAAGCTCAAACTTATTAAAAAATACTCCCTCCGTCCCGAATTGAAGTGCAAAAGTTGACCGGCACACGGATTAAGAAAGAATAGAAGGGTAGGAGATTGTATGTGCTGGAGAAGGTGTACTAGTATAGGTGGGAAGAGATGGTGGAGACGGGGTATCTTGAGATATAGGGAGAGAATTAGGACTGAAAAAAGGGGTGTCTTCGTGAAAGGACACATCTGCACTGGTGTAACTTCTTCTGGTGGCAGGATTATAACATTTGTATCCTTTTCGGGTTGGAGAGTAACCCCAAAAAATACACTTGATAGATCGTGGGTCCAATTTCCCCCTATGAGGTGGAGGAATATGAACAAATGCAGTACACCCGAACACCCGTAAATGAAGATCAGAAGAGATTCTAGTTTGAGGAAAGAAGTGATGAAGAGAATCAAGAGGTGACTTGTTTTGGAGTACATGAGTGGGTAGTTTATTGATGAGATGACATACTGTGAGTGTGGCTTCCCCCAGTAATGTTTAGGCATATTTGATTGGAACAATAAAGCCCGACTTACTTCAAAGAGATGCCGTTTTTTTATTTCTGCAGTGCCATTTTGTTGAGGTGTGTATGGACAAGAGGACTCATGAACAATACCTTTTGAGAGGAAATAAGAGGAGACCGTTTGATTGAAGTACTCAAGGGCATTATCAGTACGGAAGCGTTTTATAGTGGCAGAGAACTGATTATGAATCATATTGCAGAATATAGGAATAATAGTGCTCACCTCACTCTTGTTTTTTAGGAGAAAAACCCACATAAAACGTGTACAGTAATCTATAAATGTAACGTACCACCGGGCTCCAGATATATTAGCAACTGGAGCAGGGCCCCAAACACCACTATGTATAATATCAAAAGGAGGATGACTTATTGTATTACTTCGGGAAAAAGATACACGAGATTGCTTAACAAGTTCACATACATCACATTGTAAGGTAGAAACATCAATACCAGTGAAAAGGCTAGGGAATAAGGTTTTTAGGACATGGAAAGATGGATGACCAAGTCGCATATGAAGAAGCCAAACAGTTTTGGTATTGGAAGTGACTGAGGTAAGAGCCTTTTGTGGAGGTTTGGAGACAAATAGTGCATCAAGATAATACAGGCCATCTCTTTGCTTAGCAATTCCAATCGTCCTCCCCGTGCGCAGATCCTGTAAAAAGCAACAAGAAGGGAAGAAAATAACAGCACAGTTAAGATCAACAGTGAGTTTAGAAATAGAAGCAAGGTTCATAACCATGTTTGGGACATGTAAGGTGTTTTTCAGATTAAATTTATCAGAAAAACAATTGTGCCATGCCCTGCAACCTCTAATGTGTGTGGACTTAAAACATGGCTGGTAATTGGAGAGTAAGGAGGATGCAGCAGTCATATGAGAGGTGGCACCTGAGGCTAATATCCATTTAGATTGTGGATTCTGTTTTGAAGCATTTAGACAAAAAATTGTAGAGGTTTTACCTTGCAAGGCTAAAGAACTATGACCAGAACCATTTGAGGTATTAAGAGACTGCAGCAGCAAACGAAGTTGCTGTATTTCCTCTTGGGGAATAGGTGAAAGGCTAGTAGAGTTCTCAAGAGTAGTAGGAGTGGCTGAGTTAGCAAATCCTGCGCTAATTCCCCGTCTATCCTGACTTTTTCTTTCTTTCTGGAGATGAGGATAAAGCTTCCAACATGTGTCCACATTATGATTGGACCGCTTGCAATGCTCACACCATTTTCCTCCCTTACTACTTTTAGTTCTCTTATCATCCGAAGAGGCCGAAGAAGTAGACTTGACGGCCAAAACCGTACTATCAACTAGCTTAGTGTTCATCATTATATTGCGCCTACTCTCTTCATGTTTGATAGTGGCAATGGCAGAAGATAGGGCCGGTAGAGGAGTAATGGCCAGAAGTTGAGACTGGGTCTGATCGTATTCTGGATTTAAACCAGACAAGAAGCAATACAGACGTTGCTGGTTTATATAGTTCTTATGAAGGGCTGCGTCTGCAGCATTAGACCACTTCATTGTTTGGTACTGGTCAAGTTCAGACCATCGCCTTTGGAGGTCAGTAGCATATTCTGTGACAGATTGCGAATCTTGCTTAAGATTCATTGTTTGAAGCCATAAGTCATAGACAAAAGCACCATCTTTAGCAACAAAGTAGGATTGCTTTATGAAATCCTAGATTTCTTTAGCCGAGTCCATGTATAAACATGTACTGCTAATGTTGGGATCCATAGAGTCCCATAACCAGACTCGTATGTTGGCATTGGTTTTCTCCGAAATAGCAACATCAATATCTCCTTCTTCAGGTGAAGAGGCAGTGAGATATATTTCAAGATCTTTGCCACGAAGGAGAGTGTAAACCAGCTTTGACCATCCAAGATAGTTTCTCCCACTAAAACGGTAAGAAGGCGGGATAGAAGGGAGGTCAAATTTCTGGTTTCGAAGGGCAACCGCAGCTGCAGTAGCAGCTGAAACAATGGTTGAGTGGTCAAGGTGACTTGAGGCTGATTCGGCTTCTTTAGACATGATAAAACCCTTGATGAAGAGACTCCACCGGGAGTTAAAGAGAGAGAAGGGTAGAGACACCCAAAAAATGACCGTTGGAGAGGCGATAGACTCAAAAAAGGCTTAGACGAAACCTAGCTCTGATACCATGAAGTTTTCTGAATTTTATTATTGATAGAACTCACTTTTACATGAAGTACAACTGCATATTTATAGAAAACTAGTCCTAAGAAGTGTCTGTTCAGTACCCTAAGTGACTGTCCAGATACTGAAAAATAAATGAACATAAACTGATTAGACAAGTATTAATTACAACTTGAACATGCACTAAAGACTCATTATTACAGAAAAAAGACTCTTCTTTTTCTCAACAGATGCATCAACAGTGTTTTTATAATATGAATAATAGATTACACTGTTATTTAAAGTATATCTATAAAAAATAAAATTCATACAATACCATACTAGACCAAATTTAAATATAAGGAAAAATAATTAAAATACCCCAAACTTTGAAAGGGGTGTGAGGTAAGAACCCCATACTTGCATATGTAATTTAAATACCCTAAACTTTATATAAAAAGTTTTTTTAGCACTATAGTCATGTATTATTTCTTTCAAAAATGTTATTTTTTTGGTGTTAATTTTATAATTTAAAATATTTTAGCACTCATGAAGATACAATTAACATTTTAAACTTCCATTGTAAAATAAATAATACTACCCCCACTATATATAATTGGAGCGTTTTTAATTTTTTATTCTAAATTATGCAATTAACAGCATAAATTTACATTTTCGAAAAAAATAATATATGACCATGGTGCTAAAATAACTTTTTATATAAAGTTTAGGGTATTTAAATTACGTATGAACGTTTGGAGTGTTTATCTCACACCACTTCAAAGTTTGGGGTATTTTAATTATTTTTCCCTTAAATATACCAACCATATTCAAATACTACGTAGATCATACTGGACCCGCTCAGACTAGAACCATAAAATTTCAACGCAGTCAAACAGAGCCTGATAAGCCAGTCATGAAAAACAGTATACTCATTGACGAGGCTTGTTTAGGTTTGATAGTATATACGTAGTAAGCTCAACCAAAATTGTGATTTTGTGGAATGATGACACCATCATTTATTTAATGATTTTTTAATTTTATGTAAGGGGTTTCATGAAGCATCTACTACCTTTTAGAGATTCAAAGACAGCTAGTCCATGCCATTTTAGAGATTCAAAGACAGCTAGTCCATGCCATTTTATTTTAAAAAAACATTTTGTTCATGTTAAGAATCAGACCAAATCATTTATGGTACAATAGGTGAAATTGTAGAAACCCCCTAGGATGAACAAAGTGTAGCCTATAATAATTTGACAAGGTGAAATATGTCATTCTCTTTTGAATGACTTTAACAATCTATCCTTGTGAGCTTTACATATCTGACCTACTCATATGTTCCATTAGTAGAAGGTAATATCTTTGCTTCAAACAGGTGGGCATTGTATCCTCCTGGAAGAGTGCCTTCAGGCGTGACAGTACATGTAAATGAAGAAGATGGTGATGTCAATATTGACAGTCCATCTTCTTTGCAGGTGTGTGTGCCTGTGTGTGTATGCGTTTGTAATTATGTATGGTATGCATATACATATATGAGTGCATATAAATTATGAAAAAAATCAGTGGATAAAATGTTTATCTGCTTCTTCCTTTTCATTGACTGTATTTTTCGTGTTCCTTCAGTGGTGGCTGGACTATTATCCCCTTCTTGCGGATGAGGACAAGCCGATAGAATGTACTCAACTCCCTGGCGAAACAATATTTGTACCAAGTGGGTGGTGGCATTGTGTGCTAAATTTGGAGACCACTATAGCTGTTACACAGAATTTTGTGAATTCAAAAAACTTTGAATTTGTGTGCCTGGATATGGCTCCTGGTTACAAACACAAAGGAGTCTGCCGTGCTGGATTGCTTGCATTAGATGACAGCAGCTTTGAGGATGTTAAAAAGAATGTATCGAGTCCGGAAAATAGTTTTAGCTACTCGGACCTTACTAGAAAAGAGAAGAGGGCTAAAATTCCCCCACATGTTATGGGAGGTTCACGATGTGAAGCTTCTAGAGATGGTGATCCTGAATTTAACGAGAACCGAAATCTGAAATTTTCTTATGATATAAATTTCTTAAGCATGTTCTTAGATAAAGAAAGGGACCACTATAATTCCTTATGGTGCCCAAGTAACTGTATTGGGCAACGAGAAATGAGGGAATGGTTATCACGACTTTGGCATCAAAGGCCAGTACTCAGGGACCTAATTTGGAAGGTGCTGCATTATATCATTTCTCTACTCTTAGATTTGGAACCATGGAGCTCCTTAGCTCTACTTACCTAATATATTAAATAAATGCTTAAAGAGATTCATCTTTAATCATGAAATGAATTTGGGCTACAACTGCCTGTTCTTAAAAACTATATATGTGACATTTGACCTTGAATTTAAATTGTCCCAGGGAGCCTGTATTGCACTGAATTCTAGCAGATGGTTTGAATGTGTGGAGGAAATTTGTGTCTATCATGAGTTGCCCTTACCTGCAGAAAATGAGAGGCTTCCCATTGGGAAGGGTAGTAATCCTGTAAGTAGTTTGGCAGTATAGTAACTTACATTCTTTATCTTTTACACACACATGTATGTGTGTATATAGGGTAGGGTTCCTATGGATTCCTATTTAATAATCATATGAGTTTATACTTGTCGTTACCTTAAATTCAAACGAGTGCGTATTGCAAATTGCAATTATTCTTAAGTAACTACAAAAATTCCACCTTATCAATATTAGTAATTGATTACAAGTTAAAAATTAGTCTGATTGTAAGAGGGGTTGTCACAAGAACCCTTCCTTGTACACACACATATGTATTTGTGTATAGACACACATGTATATGAGTGTGGTTCCAATATTTGCCTCAAAAAATGCATGTCCATATGAATTGAATCTCAACTGTTGGATTTAAGATCAAGCAGTTATGATCAATATTTGCACTGAAACCATTTTCTGTATGTACATGTGCATGCGTGTGTGGCATCTATGCCTATCATTGTATTAAAAAAAGTACGAATGGTGTTGTTGTACACTTGTACTCATTATGTAGTAGTTTGATTTCTATTCAATTTAGAGTCCCTTGTTATCTTTTGCATGGACAAAATCATCACGTAATAATTCAACAAGCCCAAAGTAATCTCTCCTTCCCCTTCTAGCTTACCTACTACAGTACCCGCGTGAATATGATCTCCGCCTGATAGTCTATCGCTTTCGCTAGGACTCATTCCTTTACTTTTAAATCCCCCCCCCCCCCCCCCCCCCCCCCCGAAGAAAAACTAACCAATGAAAGTGGCTTGATGTCTTCTGACAATAAGCAAAAATGAAAGTCCATTTTACAATCTGTATGTTTTAAATTACGCCTCAATAAATGTGTAGAGGTGTGTGTATTAAGCATATTTTATAAACTGCACATGTTTATATACCTAAGACAGCATTTTCGTTAGTGTGAAAGAAAATATATTTTGAACTTTGGATTCTACTCTAGTTAAGTGAGCAAGAAATCCAAGCATAGTTCTACTTCATGTCAGGTTTATCTTATTTCCAATAATGTGATAAAGATATTGGTTGAAGGAGGGACTGAAGCTTCGCTTCATTCTTTCGGCACAGAGGTATCTTCATTTTTGAACATCTATACTGCCTGGCGCTTGCTGTTGTTACCTGTTCATGCATTCTCATGCTTGTATTTACACTTTTTCAGCTTGAGTTTTACAGTGTTCTGCAGAAAGTAAGCTCCCCTCTGAAAGAGCATATCCCTGATGTTTTGGCCAGTGGAATTGTCTATATTGAAAATGGATTATGCAGAGTTATGCCATGGAATGGAAAAGATGTTTCTGAGGTGATCTCTAATTCTGTGTCATTTCTTGGAGAACACCGAAAAGGAAATTACCCATATGGAATATGGAGAAAAATGCAATTTGACTATAGAAATGTGGGAATTTCTCCATATGAATTGGTGACGAGTAACGATGTAGAAGTATGGCCATATGTGGTGACTCAAAGATGCAGAGGAAAAACGTTAGCAGACCTGTAAGTGGGTTGTGGGAATGGCTTTAAACTTGCGAATATTTCGGCCTTAGTGGTTTATTCGTTTACTACTATTTTTCCAGATGAAGCCTTCTTATTAATGTTTTATTTTATTTTATTTTTATTTGCAGAAGAGAAACCCTGTCATGGGAAGATACTTTGGACTTGGCCTCCTTCCTGGGAGAACAACTCAGGAACCTTCATCTTGTGCCATGCCCATCTTTGAATTACTCAACATTGTTACAAAGCAATCAAGAACCTATGCTAAATTTTAATGGTAGTATTCCAGTAGAGTGGGACCTGTTCCTCAAGATACTGAACAAGAAAAAGGAAGATGTCTCTAATCGCTTAACCAAATGGTAAGTGTTTTTGCGGAAGTTGGTTTGTTTTTTAATCCCTAGGATAATTAAACATAAATTTGGCCATGTACTTCTGTAGTGTGGACTGGTTAATCTCACTTTACTTACTAATTACTAAGTTCACTTTACTTCTGTGTACTAAGTTCAGTTTTTAAAACTTGAGTTTGAGTAAACCTCTGAAACTCAAGATAGGAATGCTCTAATCAATTATGGATCATCAAAAGATTTGAACTTTTACAAATATCAAAAGAGCAAAGTAAAACTTGTTGGATATTGATGTTTTTTCTTAAACATTAACTCTTGTGCGAGTCATTCCTGAAGTTTTCTTATGAAGAATAATCTTGAGACTTGAGAGAAGTTATTTTTTTTATCCTTGGTCGTATTTGTGTGTTGTTACTTTTGGCACCTGTCATTGATAATTTCCATAAATAGCCACTACTCCCCATAATATTAAAATTTGGATGGTTTTCGTCTTAACATGGCACTTCAATCAAATTTGGGTGGAACTCATGAAACAAATGAATATATTCAAAAACCAAGGGCACAATAGACACTTTTCCAACTTGAGCACTGATAATTCCAACATCCGCTGTTAAGTGTTTAACAGTCATTCTTCTTTTTTCTTTGGAAATGACATGGGTGAGGACCATATAGATTATAGAGTTTGTCTTAATATTTTCGACCAAATTGCAGGGGTGATCCCATTCCTGTTGATCTGATTGAAAAAGTCAGTGAGTACATCCCGGACAACCTAGCAAAGCTCCTTTTTGTGTCTGAGGTTTGGAGCACTTGAAATCTACCTGAGAAAAAGAATGGGGAAACCTATTTATTTCACCCTTACTTGTGCACACATACACATCAACATCTCTATTTTGAAGCATTGATTGCTGATTTCCCCCCTGTCCAGGATACCGCTGGAGTTCACAAATCTTGCACCTGGATACACTCAGATATAATGGATGACAATATCCACATGGAAGAGTCTTGCGTTACCGCCTCTTGCTTAGCAGAGGATGATAGACCAATTGACAATGGCGATGTCATTGATACTAGGAAATGTTGTGATAAAAAAAGCTCATGGCGTGCAACCCACATACTTGATTTCAGTGGCTTGTCCATAGGTGAGGGAGCCTTTCAACTTAATTTATTTTGAAGTAATAAATTCACTCCATTTTGTCATGTGAATAAACATAATAGATTTTAATAGGTGGCTTTCCATGTTTTGGTATATGTGTAGTTAATAAGAAAAGATACTCAGTTTGGGGTTGGTGATGTGCCAAATGAGCATGATATGCATTCTCATTATTTTCAATTTTAAAAATGAATATCCGCCATTGAGCAACAAACAATCAGGTTTGGAAACATTTGAAGGTAATTAAAAGCTCAGTTTGTTTCAAGGAAAATAGCTTGTGGAAATAGTTTCACAGGTCAAAGAAAAATGTCTCCCTGGAAAATAAGTTGCATGTTAAATATAATGTTTGGCCCACAAAAATAGGAAAAAGAAAACAATTGCAGGAAATTAATTTCTTGTTTTGGAATGAGGAAATCATTTTCCACAAGGCTATAGAATATTAGAATGGGAGAACTCCCCAAATAGGATGAAAACATACTCATTTTCCAAAATCAGGACTAATGTTTAAAATTTCATAATTAGGACTTGCTCTGTATTATTTTTAGACAAAAATATCCTTATAGGGGTTGGAGCACTGCCGCCGCCGGAAATCCTCCACCGTTTGCCGCCGGAGTGCTACCGCTGCTGCCGGATTGCTGCCACCAACTGACTGTCCTAATTATGTTAGGAAATTATGGGGCAATTAATTATATTAATTAATTATATAAGGGTAGAATTGTAGAAATGTAATGTTTAGTCCTATTTATGGAAAATAAAACGTGTAGTCCTATTTAGGGAAAACTCCTAAGCTTTAGTCCTAGTTAGGGTAGAATTATATTTAGTGCCATTTTCTCTATTAGATTCAAGGGAATATTTCTCTGTGGGACATTATGTTCTGGTGCTAAACACAGAAAAAGCTATTCTGAAAAAAAAAACTGTGCCAACCACTAGAAATTCAAAAAAAAAAAATCCTCAGGATAATATTTCCAGGAACCAGACATAGCCTTGGTTTCATGTTGCTTTGATGTCAAACTGAAATTTGCAGCACCTGAGTAAGTGTTGTAGTAAAGTTTAAGACACCCAAAAGAATGGGTAGCACGTTGTAGATATTTTAGATTAGTTGATGCCGAATTCATTTTATTGTGGGTTACATTATTTACTTGAAATGTCACACAAGGAATTGCATTTTAACAGGTGGTCCCCTTTTAGATATCATTCCAATTCATCTGGATGTGTTCAGAGGAGATCCACGTCTGTTGATTCATTTTCTAGAAAGCTATAAACTCCCATTGTCACCATGGCAAGAAATCTCGAAAGGATTAGCTGATAACAACAACAGCAGATGTGGACGGCTCTCTTATCATGCCATGTAAGTGCAGTCAGATGACTAAACTGTATATGTCAGTGGCGGACCCAGAAAGTCGGAGTCATGGGGTCCCTACCTTTTTATATCTCTAATCTCTAATTTAATATAAAACTAATAAAAAATATTAAAGAAGCATAAAAACATAATTAGTTTAACAATTTAAAGAATGGGCTTTAACAATTTAGTAAGATTATAAGAACATAATTAGTGAAAACATAATCGATTAAAGCTCATTTAAAGAATGAGCTTTAACAATTTAGTAAGATTATAAAACTAATTTAATTAGTTTGAGTGGTGTGATAAAAACATGTGAAAAGAAATTCTTTGAAGGTGAGTTTATTAACCAAATACTAGAATTCAAATGTGAAGAGAAAAAGAAAATGATGAGTAAAGATTTTCATATGAAAGGCCATTAAAAGTCTTGGAAAAGAGTAGTCAATTACATAAGTGACTTTTCAAACACCTTAATTATGAGCATAAAAGTCAAATAAAATAGTTGAACAATTATTATTATTAACATGACAAATCTATATATAAGCAGCCAACATTATAATTAACATATATTCTGTATTACATACACAAAATCAAAAAGGGAGAATGAACACAAAAAATATAGAAATAATATCTATAATCCATCAAACCCAAAAACATGTTAACAAAAAGGGAAAATGAACACAAGAAATCGTGGATATGAATGCAAAAAACATTGAAACATTTCAACAAACACCTTGTGAGCATAAAAGTGATAGAATAGTTGAATTATAATTAAAATTATAAACATCACTAGTCCATCACAATACAATAATGTAATCAAACAGTAAACATTCTAACATGTATTCTATGCTTAAAATCGAAAAGAAAAAATATAACCAAATTTAAATCTAAATTCACAAGAAAGGGACAAACCTCAAATCTAGGCAGGGAGGAAAAAGTACTTCGTAGTTTAATTCATAGTTCAACAAAGTGTTTTCTCATAATTTTCATGTCAATTGAGAGTTGACATCTCCAAAAATTGAAAGCTTATGAGAATGAAGGAAAGAAAAATGTCGAAACAGGACTACGGTAAAGGAATGAGCACTTAGAAGAGAGGAAGAGAGGAGAAGGAAAGAGGGAGAAAAAAAGGATAAAAAGTGAATGTGAAATGTTAAAAGTAAAAAGATAGGCCAAAATGACGTAATTTTGGTCTATTTAATTAAAATAGTTTTGGAAAAAAAAACACCAAGGTGGATTTGAACATGGTACCTCCCACAACATAGAAAGTTTCAAACCCATGAGGCTCTCATTCCCCTACTCTATTCTTTTGATTCTAAGGTCGTTTTTTTGTAAATATACATTGAATAATTAATTTTATATAGTATATATATAATATACTTCCTCCGTTCCATAAAAGTTGCAATATTGGAATTTTTGCACTATTCACACACCTTACGTTGACTACGATTTTCTAATAATATATATAATAAAAATATTATGTATAAAATATTAATAAATTTGTATCAATGTAAATTTCCAATATATTAACTTTTTTTAATGTTTACTAATACGTAAATAAATATAATTACAGTCAAAGTTGCGCGTTGGCAAACGTGAAAGTCAAACTGTTGCAACTTTTATGGAACGGAGGATAGTATATAGCTATTTTTTTCGAGGTGCACGGGGTCCCGGGACCCCATGGGACCCTTACTGGGTCCGCCTCTGGTATATGTTTCATTTACGGAGTATAAATTAGAAATATTATATTCTTTTCCATATTCTTAATCATATTCGTGATTCACTTTTCTATCATATACAAGTACCATTTACCCTACATAACCCCTCATGTTTTATACATAGTATATCCTTAACACAATCAGTATAGTTCATTTCATTGTACAATTTTCACACAATACAGGTGCTATTGTATCCTTCACGATGATAATGTTTTGGGGGCAATTTTCAGCATTTGGAAAGAACTTAGGACAGCAAAGTCTTGGGAAGAAGTTGAGGAAACCGTATGGGGAGATCTAAACACCTATACTCCCGCTGCCGCTTCCTATTAGCTGCTTTTTAGCCACAACCATCTTTTCCTGTACTTATTCTTTCTGTTTGGGCTCCTGCTGTTTCACATCTTTTACTATACACAGAGTTGTGGCCTCACCTTTTGACGTCAACGGTGAAACCATAGAATACCAAATTTTATTATAGAACCATTGAAGGTGAGCCCCATCTTTTGAAAGAAGAATTAGTACCAGACTCCGTGAGTTTAAGAACTGACTACAAAAATCTTGAAGCAACACTGTTGGTATAGTTTGTGTGGAACCAGTCATTCATAAATTGTAACCTTTGGATAAATTTTGGTGTTTGGACCTTGGACTTTAATGGTGAATGGGTTATCACTTTATTGCTTTTAATCACATTTTACCCCGATACTAGATATTCTTGAATCCAGTAAACGAAGACATGTGCTTGTAATCCTTGTATCTTGAGCCAATGTTGATATTAAATACTAACAATGCATTTATTATATTATAGGGCTAAAATATAAGACTATATGAGCAGTTATTATATTTTTAAAATAGGGTTAAAATTATTATATTATATTATATTATATTATAGGGCTAAAATCTGTTTAAAATTTCAAAACAGTAATACGATAGTACTATATTATATTTGCATTCCCTAAATAAGACTATATGAGCAGTTACTACAAAGCTTGGAAAATGTTGACATCAATAATGTCAAACATTTTTAGAATTCGCAAACATTTTTATTCTTATTTACGAATATTTCTTTTATTCATTGAATAAGCTAAATTATTTAATGTATAATAGGTAATTCATAAAAACATGTAAATTTTCTTAATAATACCAAATACACTCTTATAGCTAAAACTAGGGGTGGGCATTTCGATTTTTGGTTCGGTTTTCTTCGGTTTCAGTTCGGTTTCGATTTAATCGATTTGATAGAAAATGTACCAAATACAAACCGATTAAGTTTCGGTTTGGTTTCGGTTTGGTATGGTTCGATTCGGTTTAGAGTTCGGTTTACCAAAGTACTAAGGTTTGGATTGAAATAAAAAAAATAACTCAAAATAATGAATCAAGAAGCGATAGTAATGAACCAAATATATTGTTAGATATAAATTTGCAAACAGTAACAAAACACATATGAACCAAAAATATATAAGCATGACATATTTTTAAGCAGCAACAACAACGTGAATGAATCAAATTATATATAAAGCCGAAACAAAAACAAAACTGGTGCTTATAAGTAATGAATCAAATATATAGTAGTAGTAGATAATAAATTATAGTTAAATACTATCTACTTAATCCACTATAATTGTTATAGTTGTAAATGTAACTCTTGTAATAAACTCTAGTCCTGAACACTAAAATTAAAGAATTAAAGTTTCAAAAATATTAACATCAATCAAATTAATGAGAGAAATCTTATATTTTGGTTTGATTTAGTTTGGTGTAAGTTGATTTTGATTTGTATTTTAAAAAAATATTTCATTTTTAGATTAGTTTGATTTTATTCGGTTTTATATTTTCGGTTTGGTTTGGTTCGGTTTAATATGGACTGGGAGGAATACTACCAAACTCAAACCAAATTACAAATGGTTCGGTTTCGATTTGGTTTAATTCGGTTTGGTACGGTTCGGTTTGGTCAAACTGAACCGTTATGCCCACCCTTAGCTAAAACAATTAAAAAACTTTTGATATAATTAGAATCATTCATTACTTGTTATCTTTTCTTGTTGTTAAAAAAGAGAATGTGTGTGTGTGCTCGTGTGTGCATGAGTGGGTCCGTGGGTGGGCTGGTGTGTGTGTGTGTGTGTGTGTGTGTGTTCTCCGTCGACTATTCTCTAGTAGGGGTGGACCTGGTCCCGTTCCCATCCCGGACCGGCCGGTTCCGATTCCGGTCTCAGACACGTCGGTCCCAGTCTCGGACCGGCCGGTTCTGGTTTCAGTCCCGGACTGGCCGGTCCCGGTCCTGGTTCTGATCCCGGTTTCGGTCCCGGATATTAAATGTGAAGACCGAGACCGAACCGGGGTAAAATGGACCTAGTTTCGGTCCGGTCTACCCGACTGATTCCAATCTGGTCCGATTCCAGTCCCCCCTTTAATAAATTACAAAAAAAAAAGAATTCAGTCGTTGGGGTCGGAACCGGGACCTAGACCTCCCGGTCCGGTCCCCATTTTGCTTACCCGAGACTGAGTCTGGAATTACCCGGTCGGGTACCCGGTCCAAGACCGGGACCGGAAAACCGGACCTGGTCCGGTCCCACACAATAGCGGTTCCGGTTCCGGTCTGGGACCGCCGACCGGGTCCACCCCTATTCTGTAGTGGTTTGTTCTTCGAACATGAAGGGTTCAATTACTTATCTATCCATAGGGATGGCAACGGGGCGGTTCGAGGTCGGGTATACCATTACCCGTACCCGCCCCATTTGATAATATTTTTCCCCGAAACCGCCCCGTTACCCGTCGGGTATTTTTCCCCCGCGGGTAACGGTTTTCCCCGCGGGTAACGGTTTCCCCGTGGGTAACCGTTTTATTAAAAGGTAATTTTTTTGCTTCAAAATTAGTATAAATCCTAAAATGATGATTAACTACTTATAATTGATCACCTAAATTAAAAAAAAATCAAAATTAAATAGCACCACTTATGTTATTAAAAGATAAATTTTTTTCTTCAAAATTAGTATGATGATTAACTATTTATAATTGACCACCTAAATTAAAAAAAATCAAAATTAAGTAGCACCACAAATAAAGTTTTTTAAAACATCACAAAAAATTACAATCTTTTGAACCTAATACTCAGAAATTATATATGTCTAGATTCAAAATTATGAATCTCTTACCACATCAACATCAAGAGATTAAGTCTTGTCTCGATAGTAAAATCTAAATATGAATCACAAAAACATTTAACTTCCAAAAATTCAATAATCATACCCCACCGACATTCAGTATCTAAATTTAAGAGCAGTAATATATACAAGTAACATAATAAAAATGAGGAGTTTTTTTCCTGAAATATTACTAATAAAAAATATATGGACATAAATGTGAATATAAGTTATCATGGGTAATATTTATAGTCACTACGATATAACACTTGAATAAAATTATAAACACTAAAGTTACTAGAGTCGCATTTTCGTCCACGACTTTTATTTTGATTATAGATTTGGGTATTCTAATTTAGAGCAACCAATCAAAATTAATCTAATCATCCAATACACCTCTACAAAATTATTAGCAATTACATAAATTAAAGCAATCTAGAGTGATGTTTCCCAATATTTGGACTTTAAACTCATATGTGAGCTTTATGAAAGTTATTTGGTGAAAAAATAAGAGAGTCACAATGTGAAAATGGTGTATAGAAAATCATGAAAATCAAATAATCAATATGAGAAGAAAATAAATCTTGTAGAAGTTAACACATGAAGGATGATGAATGAAATTGAAAATTAAAAATCTAAAATAGTGAATTTTGAGCATCAACTCATCAGAATTGCAAAGGATAGTCGATTAGTTGAATATTTTTCAAAAAATAGAGGAAATAAGTGTCATATACTAATGTACTACTATTCATATATACTTAATATATTAAATAATAAATACATAAACTATTAAAATATGTAAGTTAATTGTGCGGGTCGGGTAATGGTGCGGGTAACCGTATCCAAATTAAATGGGGCGGGTAACGGGGCGGGTAACGGAGCGGGTAGGTATAAACCCATAACCGCCCCATTACCCGTTTACATAAATCGGGTATTCTCCACCCCGTACCCGTTACCCGATCAAAGCGGTTTTCCCCATTTTGACTGGTTCGGTTCGGTGCGGGTATCCATCGGGTCGGGTTAAATTGCCATCCCTATCTATCCATTTTTTTGTTTCCATTTTCTATTTTCCACTTTTTAGTTTTCTATTTCCATCTTTCGGGTTTCTGTGCTTTTTAAGAGGTTTTTCTTAAAAACAGTATGCTAGAAATATTGAATTATCATTTCTTTCCACAAGCTATGTTGCACGGAAACGGGAAATTCATGAGGAAACGGGAAACAGGAAATATCAACTTTTGCTCAAAAACGCTTATTTGAAGAGTTTCTGGGAGTTTCCAAAACGGGAAACGTACTCTTTCATGAGAGTTTTCGTGCTACATAGAACACAAGCTAAAAGGTGATATTTATAATCTAGAATGAAATAATTGGTGAATAACTAAAGTTATGGGATCTATTAATTTAATAACGGTTACTTGGAGAGAGTATCGCATAGATCGATTGGTATGGAATTATGGATTCTATAGATGGTTGCCCTTTGCGTAAGGGAATGGCTAGATAAGCCACACGTTGCTAGATAACCCTAGCAAATGCACTTTTGTTATTTTTTATTTCTTTTTTTCTTAAAATTATTAATAATTTTTTTATTTTTGATTCAATTTTTATAAAATTTATATCAATTTTTTTTATTTTTCATGATCTTTCAAATGAGACCAATATTGTCTATGTAATTTTAATTTTTTACATTCATACATTTTTTGTAATATATTTTTATATGCATACACTTTTTCTATAATATTTTTTTATCACTTTTATATGTTTTTAGAGGTTTTTAAGATATTGAGTTTGTTTATTTTGCTTCTAGCTTGGAGTTACATTTGATAATATACGAAGTTAGATCATCTTATACTCCGGTTACAAGTTATTATGTGTGGGTTACATCTTATTATGTGTGAGTTACATCTTGTTATACACGAGTTACATACTTTTATGCGTGAATTACATGTAATTATGTGAGTTATATCTAATTATGTGTGATTTTTTACTTATCTTTATCTTGAACTAATTCATTTATAACTGAATCAATTTTTTTCTTTGCCAATTTAATACAAAATTTTATTAATCCACATAAAATAAGTATATTGTATTTCATATTCATACACTATTTTTCAAAATGATAAAAATGAAAGATGTAGCAGGGATTTATTTCGTGGTGTAACTCACATACATTAAGATGTAACTCACGTATATTAAGATGTAACTCGCGCAGAAGAAGATGTAACTTCATGATATATTATCAAATGTAACTTCAAAATAATTTGTTAAAATTACATAAGCAATATTGATCTCATTTGATAGATCATGAAAAATAAAAAATTTTGATATAAAATATATAAAAATCGGATATCAAATAAAAAAGTTATTACAATTTTTAACAATAAAAGAAATAAAAAATAATGGAATGAAACTGCAGCTGCGTCGTTTTGAATGAAACGAGCGTGGTTTTTCACGGTATAAATTGCCCTCACAAGGTGATGTCAATCCTTAATGTCGTGTGATCTTTAGCACCGAAGTGTCTAAAAACACTCTTTATCTGAGGTTCAGAGCTCATCCTTGGTGATGCCCATGGATATGTGTGACGATGTCCAACTTGGGTGTGATGAGGTTAAGCTCATCTTGATTGCCGATGGGAATTGCTATTTTGATCCCAAGGTCCTGGAGACGGATCGAGCCTCGAGCTTGGATGTCGTCTTGGGAATGTTGTGAACCTCGGCCTGGGTCGACCTTGGCCCCGGCTGCAATTCTAGACTTATCTCGAGCTCAGTCTTAGGAGGCTCAGCCTCTATTGAAGTGGCCTTAGCGCATCCTGGAGACTCCATGTGTTAGATGTTGATACCGTAGGGATATATGAGGTGAACTTTCACCTCAGATGGCTGACATATATCAATATTAATTTTGGACCCTTCCAAGACTTAATTGGATTGCATAAAACTTTTTAGATGAAAAACCCAAATTTGGCCCTTTCCATTTTTTCACCCATGGATTGAGTGTAATCAGCCTCATAAAGCGGTCATATTTTTTCCCACCACTAAATAAACAGTGCATGACAGAGGCACTTGGAATCAAAGGCAGCTAGCTTGGTACTTGGAAGTAAACTCTCAATTGGACAGATGCAGTTTATTTCCATCTCAAAAAGAGTTTAGAGTTAAATCACAACTTGAGTCAATATAATCATCAGATGTATTGTAGGATAAGTCATCGAAGTCGTCAAGAAGTTCCATACTCCCCCCACCCAATGAGTATGTTTCTCCTCTCCCCGTGTGAACTACCACTCTTCTCGCCTCCTCGATTATACCCGATATCTCCTCCAAGCTTTGTGTAGGATTATTCACATCCATGCTTTCATAGCTCCCAAACTCCATTAGTTCTATAGGCAAGTTCTTCACAAACCATGGGTGTCTTCTAATTTCAGTAATCTTTATCCTCTGCAAAACACAAAGGGTCAACATTATACCACCAAAACAGATCTCTTTTAGAGGCTGTTTGGTAACCTAGTTATTTGCCTCATCAACCAACTTTCTACCAAACAATGAACTTGCTGAATTGTGTCATGATCGAAATAAAAAAGGCTGAAGTATAATTTTTTTATAATTTAATACATTCAGTGAATTGAGCTGTTTAAGCTAGAATTTCGTAGTAGATTCAGCTCATTCAGTCAATTTCAATGTTATTAAATAGGTTCTTAAGGTATCTTTATTCAAGTCTATGCATATAAGATGAGTTGATTCTCAAATTAATATAACAACCACAGTGGTGTCATACTTTACCTCTTCCGGATTTGCCACAAAGATTCTTGATAGAAGATGTTGGCACTCGACAGAGATGTAAATATTATTGGGGATTGAATATTGGGTCCCAAGTATTCTCTGTAACACAGAAATGATTTATAAAGGATGCATTAAGGAGGAAGAAATAATAAAGTGTGTTTGGTAAAGATTATCTGGCTGATTTTTTCAAATGGAAAAGCATTGGGCAACACTTATTATAGACAAATAAGATAGTCAAAGTTGTCTATTGTGCTCATAAACAACTTTTTGCTAACAGAGCCCAAGAGTCTGTTTGGTAGAATGATTTAGTTCATTCTTCTTATTCTGATACTTAGAAGAATAAGCACAAGAGAGATTTTGGCTGAAATGGATGTCAGTATGTCACTCAACGCTCTTCTGATTTAGTTCATTCATTAATTTAAGCCAAACAATCTTACCAAACAGAACCTGAGTATTACTCTCTTTTTATTTAATTCTGAAATGTGTTAGGATATTACTGGGAGTTAGTTGCTCACAGCAATGGTCTTTCTGAAGTTTTTTGGATCACTTGGATCTTCAAAAGGATAAGCACCAGTCAGCATGACATATAGAGTGACCCCACAAGACCAAATATCTGCAAGCTAAAGTAGTTTTCACTTTTCAATGATACATTACTTGATTTAAAGGTCATTAATTAATGTGCAACAAACAATTCCAATGACAACATAAGAGGGAAAGATGAGATGTGGTATAAGCACCTTCCCATCATACTCTTTTCTTGTCAGCACCTCAGGCGCAACATATGCCGGTGTTCCCACAGTTGATTTCGGTTGAGAATGAAACACTTCTGACTGCAAAAGGTTATAAATGGTCATTTGCTTTGATTATATGATGAAAAGGATCTAATTCTCTAGTGTTAAAACAACAGCAGTAATTATTGCTACTAGATGTTCAATTAAAAAGGATTAACATAATGCTCTTTTTATCTCTTATTTCATATTTACTCGATGAAAGACAGCTTCTTCAACAACAAAAATAATAAGGATAATAAAGAAGATTGACCTTAGAGTAGCCAAAATCACAAATTTTGACACGCGGGGCAGTACTTCCATCTAGTAATGTGTTTTCCAATTTGAGATCTCTATGACAGATTTGCTGAAAGCCAAAACAGTAACCATGGACTATCAACATTCGACAATCAAGCTGGATAATATGATAATACTACATAGATATTGACAACACTGTTACTATTACCATTGAATGGCAGTAGGAGACGCCAGATATGAGTTGTTGAAAGAAGAACCTTGCCTGACCCCAAACAAGACAAAAGACCCATCCAGCGATCAGTTACTCACTCAAGTACCATTAGGATAACTAGATTATATTAAATGAGAAGCAAATGTCTTAAATTTATATTCCTAAATCGCTTCTCTATATATGATTACTGATATAGTATTGGAATAGAATATCTTGTCAAGGAAGAAGGGTAGAGACCAAAGTAAAATTAAAGTTTGAATGATGCACAAACCTCGTCTTCATTAAATCTTCCAACACTGCAAATCCTGTGAAAGAGTTCACCTCCAGCAGCATACTCCATAACAATTGCTAGATGAGTAGGTGTCAGCAAGACCTACATCATTGCAAAAAATAAAAAATGAAGATCGAAAAAACCTTTGTTCAGAGGACTAGTGATCATATATATTGGTTTATTATTTTATACTGGGACAAATACTTTAACAAACTGGTATGACATATAATATCCTACTTTAACAAAGATAAACTTCTTCCCGTGTAAGTCTAATTTACTAATAGTCATCATTTATATACTACTTCTATATATTAATAAATACTTTCACAAAAACTATACTAGCAATAGATGATATTTAATTCATTTAAAGAGACATACATTTAGAATCAGTTTGGTAACCTCATTTAGCTTATTCTAGTCATTAGCGGCTTTTAACTTTCTTATTTGGCTGAAATATATTTTGCCAAACATAATTCTTTAAAAAATCGATATTATTGGGTTGGAGTCGATCAACTAGACCACAAGACGCTCACCTCAAACTACACTAAAGATTGAATCTATTAACTTGTTCAGCATAAGGTCCTATTACTTTCCATCATGCCATAAAGGATCTTATTCAATAAAAATCATTAACTAGTTAGTCACATGAAACATGAAAAGAAAGAAAAAATCATTTCTTTAGTATGTAGCTAGAGAAGTGAGCAATTAACTCTGTACTCACCTCCTTGAATCTGACTATATTAGGATGCTTCAATGATCTATGATTCATGATTTCCCTTTCCACCAGCTCATCAATCTGTCATCCATAGAAATGAAGGCAAAGAGGACAGATACCAGCAGACAATAAGAAATGGAGTATGCATGCTATAGAACTTAAAAAAAAGGAGTGATCTTGATCAGGAGGAGGGGAGTGGGGAAAAGAATGGGAAATTAAAAAAGACTGAAAGACCTTTCGGCCCCTTTCAATGAATTTAACAGCAAAGAGGTCTTTGGTGCTCTTATCCCTCACAAGCTTGGCCACACCAAAGTTACCAGACCCCAAGTCCTTCACTATTTCGTACCTATCCATTTCACCACAAGCACTCACGCGAGCTCAAAGTTTTGAAATGTTTGCTGAATAAACAAAAGATGGAATCTTTCCTGCAGTGATGTTTTCTCCTGGCCACTTTCTTGTTTCCTCTTCTGACTTCCAATTTCCAATTTCCAATCCTCTGTACGAGCTTAATGAAATGGCTATGGGTGCCTAGCTTTGTAGATAAAAGGAGGATAGGTTGGTTCCACCAAAACAGTGTGATCAGAAGAAGCATCTTTGTTTGGGAGTTCTGCAGCAGGGAAGCTTAGGGACTGGACTAAGTTTCTTTTCGGGAAAAATAAGAGAGGATAGAGTGGGAATTAATTATTGGAGGACGCGTGGATAGAATTCACAGTAAATGCCAAGAGAGAAAATGGATGGAACGACATGTGTCGCCGCATCAAAAGCTGCTGTCCCGGTGGTTGAAATGATGTGGATCCCAAGACCTCGAGCAGATACACAGAAGAGAGAATTAATTTTAGCTACGTATTCTTTACTTTAAATAGAAATGACAAATCTTTTTGAGACATCCAAAAAAGGAAATTTGGCCAACCTTTTCGGGACGGAGGTATTATTATTATTATTATTATTATTATTATTATTATTATTATTATTATTATTATTATTATTATTATTATTATTATTATTATTATTATTATTATTTTTATTATTATTATTATTATTATTATTATTATATGGAGTAATAATAATTATAATTATAGTAAATAAATATTATAATTACAATTAAAATTATAATTACAGAAATAATTATGATTACAAACATAATTAAAATTATGATTGTAGCTATAATTATATTTAGTGTAATGGTTACTAGTTTAATAATAATTGTACCTATTATCAAATGTTAATTTCAATTATAATTATAATTTTTATAATTATGATTATAATTCTATTTAAATTATATTTATAATTAAAATAATAATAATTATTATTATATATATAATTTTATAAATATTCAAATCAGATCAGATCAGACCAGATCAGAAATATTCAGATCAGATCAGATCAAATCAGAAAATTCAGATCAGATCAGAACTTAAAAAATTCAGATCAGAAACATTCATATTAGGTGAAGATAACAACTTCTCATACCAATTTTCAGTTAAAAATGCAATCGGCAAGGTAGTCAAATGAATTTTTGAAAATAACAGCGCAATACATTTCAGAAAATAAATTTATTAATAAAATTAAGAAAATGTTATATGAAAAATTAGCCAAAAAGTAATTTTAATAAATATATGGTTCAATCTTATTTATTTTAATTATTACGAAATTCCACACTTGAAATCAAAACTAGTGTATTTAATAAAAAATGAATAGGATCCATAAATTAAAAATAAGCATTATCAAATATACGCTTAACTTAGGCAGCCACTACTCGCAAATTATACCGTACACCCGGATGTACGGTCCTCACCGTACATCCGAGTATTTTTGAAATTATTATCAAATTCTTCCAGTCCATCGTCCGCATCTGCGTTGTCCAGATTTCTTCTCCCAAGTCGTTCCTCCGTTGGAGATTAGTTGCAGACATGCCTGCAAGTGATAATAGGGACCTCTAGAGTTGCCAGCTCATGCTTAAGAAGTGGGATCCACCATCACCTCAATTTGCTAATTTAATTAGGTTGTGAACATGTTAGATATGCTCAATTGACATTTAATATACGTATATGCTTGTGAGTTGTGATAATAGGGACCTCCAGAGAGCTGTCAGCTCATGCTTAAGAAGTGTTTTGTTTTTCTATATCTCATTGTGTAAGTTATGTATGCTCATTTAATATTCGTTTTATGCTCATTTTAAAATGTCATATCAATACACAAATGAAATGAGTTTTACGTTAAATTCAAATGCGTATAACGTCCAAAATGAATGAGCACACAAAAATGCATTTTTAATTTTTTTGATACTCATTTCGTAAGTTATGTATGCTCATTTGGTAGTAATGGTATGCTCATTTTAAAATGCCATATCAATAATGCATATTTTAAAATTATTATACTACATTAAATTCGAAGATGCTCAATAAAATATGTCAGATGCTCATTAAAAGTACATTATTGCTCATTTAGCTGAATCTGTCCGTTTTCTCTTAAATTACAAAAATACCACCGAATTTTTTTTGGCCTGAATGAGTTACTGGACTGTCTCCCTTAGTTGGGCGGGGATGTATCATATAGGCACTGGCCACTGCTACTACTCCTAATCCATAAACATTTGAAAGGAATTATGAAATCATTTTTTTTACGATGGGTTACATAAAATTAGTTTTGATTTTGACAAAAAAATAATTAGTAGTAATAATTTATCTCAAAATCTAAAAATAATTTACATAAATTACGCTTAACTCTTTATTTTTTCTCAGTGATGTGTGATTGACATAAGTTTCCACCTTCTAACTTTTGTATCATTCAAAATACTCTCTAAAAGCTTCTACTTCTATTATTGACAAGGCAACTTTTAAGAGTTTATTTTAGCGGTTGCACTGAGTAACATCTGAAAAAAATTTGTAATTTTAGCATCAATTAGTCTCAATAACTCTATACCAAACAGAACTAAATCAAACAATCAATTTTTATCAAATAGCTGCCACATTGTTTAAGATCTTTTCAATCTTTAAAAGTTAAAAATTGCTAAATAAATATCCCAATTTGTCACGGGTCCACTCCAACTTCCCAATTTGTCATAGTTCTGTCTCAATCGTCACTACCAAACCATCACAAGAGTTTGTGAAACAATTGACTTCCGGCAACCACAATTGTGACAGTGATTGTTACGAGTCTCGTACAATATACTCCCTCTGTCCCGTTGGAATGTTTCCGTTTTCTTTTTTTAGATGTCCCATTGGAAAGTTCCATTTCCCTTAATGGAAAGTTATCCTATATCAAAACAGGGTCAAACAGTGCAAAACAGGGGTAAACAGTGCAAAACAGGGTCAAACAGTGTCGAAACAGTGTCAAACAGTGTTGAAACAGTGTCAAAACAATAAAATTTACACCTGGTAAGTTTATTTCTTTAATATGTGTGTAGGTCAAACCGGGAACATTCCAACGGGATAGAGGGAGTACTCACATTCAAACATATTTAGTCACTTTGAATGTGACCAAATATGTGTATTTGAAATGTACTCAAAACTCTCCTTTTTATGCATGGTAACTTTTGTAACAATGCCCACTACAAAAAAATGTCGTTATAGGCACGGTTCTTTGACAAGGAAATGTTTCGTACCAAATTATGCTCGATAGTTGGCTCGCAACAGCTAAAATTCAGGTCTTGACGCGGAAAAGTTGACGTCAAACAAATTTTCGGGTTTGGCACAGAAATTCCGTTCCAAATACCGCCCCAAAGACGAAAAAACCAAAAAAAAAATGGATAGCAAATGGATCCTAGCCAAAATCGTGTCTAATTGCGTCGGTTGTCCGTCCGAGACAAGAATCCGAGACAAAATCTGGTCCACAACCGGAAAAAATCATAAAATTAGATGAAATTTAATATGGCAGGGAACATATCCGTGCCAAATATGTCCTTGACAAACACCGTGCCAAAAAGTATCCGTTGTTACTTTCGAAAATTCCGCTTCCAAATGTAGCCATTGATTTCCGAGACATACTCCGTCCCAAAATGTACCCTTTAGGTACAGACATTTTGAAATTCCGTGCCAAAAACCTTGTCAAACACCTTGCCAAAAAAATCTACGTATAGAACACATCTTATTATGTATTCATTCATTACATTCTTATAAATAAGTAGTGATGAATTTCCAAGAACATGGAAAGTGGTGTTCTTTTCTATTTTCCATGTGGTTGAAGTATTTATATTTGGATTCCTTAAACTAATTATCGTCAGTGATGGAATATAATTCCAGCGAAAAGAGCTTAATCAATCAAATATTCATTGATCATAGGAAGGAAAGTAATAACAATATTATTCGTCCGGAAAAGCTCCCCTTTACAAGAAATGTACAAGAGTATTTATAGGCTACAAGAACTAGTATTCTAGTATGAAATTGATACACTAAATGTTATTAATTGCATATTAATTCGAATAGGACTCTTGTAACATCTTAGCCATTGCTAGATAGCTATGTTGGAACGATAGCCTGCAACGTAAGCCCTAGGAATATCCCGCCTTCACTAGAACTCCGCCTAGGCTCGAGGTCCGTTGTTCAGCCTGGCCTGGTTGTGGGTTCCTTTCGTGGCTTGGATCCCTAGTAAGGCCCAACGGCTAATTAATAATAATACAGGCTGATCCCGTTGATGGGCTGATCCGTTTGATGGGCTTTGCTTTAATTCGATCTTGGGCCATGGTAATGATCCATGGTACCATCACGAGCCCCCTACTCTCTTGAGCTGATCAGGCTCAACAAAAAGAGTAATTTGATTCCTTTCTTATTCTTGAAATTCTTCATTCTTTGAGGCGGGCATGGCGAGATGGAAAGGAGTAGAGTAGTGAATGCCTCGTAATGACTCCTCCAGGGGATGAGGGTTGTCACCTTTTGTCCACAATGGGGAGGTGCCTTGTTAAAAACCTCACTAGGAAAACCTCAGTGGGAAAAAATCCTAGCGAGAGAAAAAGAGTACACCAGATGCCCCCAAAATGAAGCAAAAAGGATGAACCCTTCGGCCGATGTATTTAACTGCAATGACCGTTGGATGCATCTGGTTTGTTCTGTCTGTGGCATCATCTTCGTTTGATAGATAACCGAGACAAGCTTGAGAGATCAATATGATAGTCTCTATCCAGATGTACATTTAAATAAAATTGTGATAATTTCTGGAGTTTACTATTGGATTTGAGCCAAAGTAAATGGCCTCAAATTTTCAATATAGATTACCGTGCTTAGTTGAGCGTGGCTCATATCTAGGACTCAACTCTCCACTCGGGGGTTCATAGTTTGAATTTGATATTCAGGATGACTAGCCTCACAAGGTCGGAATATGATGTCTAAATAGAGGAGCACACATGACTCATGAAAGTAGACATTATGTGACATTTAGACCGCGAGCTTATTAATCACACTCGTATAATGTGACCCGATAGTGCGAGTGTTAGTACTCGGTCGGGCGTATTTGTGTGTTCATAAGTCTATTCTTCAACGTCAAAAAATGCGCACTCCTCAATAATAAAAAATAATAATGACATAGCTCAACTCGTCGCTTGGGATGTGTAGTTTAAATTTGATATTCAGGATGACTAGCCCCCGAGATCAGAGTGATACTATATCAATCATATATTTTATTACGAGTTTGATAATATAAAATTGATGTTTGGAATACTTAGCTTTGGATCTGCCGCAGATTTTCGCTGTTACTATGAGAGATCGATTTCTCCCACTCCAGAC